TCCTGTGTCGTCCAAGCCTTTGCTTCCCCAGTAATGATCTCTCTCTGCCATTTGCCCTTCTGCAGCCACGGGGGCCCTGCTTCCTTTCTGTCTAGTTAGCATAGTTAATAAAAATCTGACCTTTAAAGTCTTTGTGGTGTTTGAGAAAAAAATAATTGTCCCAATTCATCACGATAACCAGGTAACAGTGGTTGGCACCTCACACTCAGACTAAATTCATACTTTTTTTTTTTGAGGTAGAGTCTCTCTCTGTAGCCTAGGCTGGAGGGCAGTGGCATGATCTTGGCTCCCTGCAACCTCCACCTCCCTGACTCAAGCGATTCTCCTGCCTCAGCCTCCCGAGTAGCTGGAACTACAGGCATGCACCACCAAGCCCAGCTAGTTTTTGCATTTTTAGTAGAGACAGGGTTTCACGATGTTGGCCAGGATGGTCTCGATCTCTTGACCTCGTGATCCACTCACCTTAGCCTCCCAAAGAGCTGGGATTACAGGCATGAGCCACCACGGCTGGCCTGAATTCATGCTTTTTGCACTATTAGAAGAATACTTTTCCCATTACTTTATTTTTGCATTTGAAAACTCAGTTTTATCTTTTTTTTTCCCCTGCTATCTTTGGCACCCATATCCCATAAGGAGTCTGGTTTCATCAACTCATCAATTCTTTCTTAGAACTATAACTTTTATCTGTTCCTCTGTGTGTGTGTGTGTGTGTGTGCACGCATGCATGTGTGATTCCTTTCCTTGTTATTTCGCATCTGGACTATACCTTAGGATGCCTCCCTCCAATGTCTCTGTGACTTATTCTTCCACAGCTGGTAATTCCAGCTTCCTTCATTACTGTTCAACTTTATTTACCTACTGAGGAATTGCCACCAGCTCCCCACTGTCTAGGAAAAGAAGTCGTACAATCGCTCAAGGAATATACCTCAAAGCATACCTGAGTCATGCTCATGAAGTGAGGTGTAAATCCAATCCACTCTGCTTTCCCGAGGCCTGGATAGTATGTCCTGATGTGAACCACATCACTGGAATGAGATGTAAAATGCAGTCTGGGTATTTCTTAGGTTCAGGCTGGGGAGAGCCGCACCCAGCCCCACCTCTATGCCGTGTGCTTTCCATTCTGTCGCCTTCAGCCATACACACGTGCGTGTCTGCCTCCTTCGTTAGAATGCAAGCTCACTTCTGAAGCTCTGCAGACTCCCCCTTGCTTCCATCTCACACAGAACCCCGTATTCTATTTTATAATAGTAGTTCTCAACAAACGTAAGTGAGTAAGCCAGTCGGATGTTAAGAGGAGACTAAAAATCATCTAGCCAGTTAATTCAGCTCCTGAAGCTTCTTTGCAACATCTCCCATCCAGAGTCCTCGATGAGCATCTCCAGGATGGCATCAGAGCATCAACATTGAAGATCCAAATTCTGGTCACACTGACCGACCTGAATTCAAAACTCTGCTCTATTAGCATCTTGATTGCCTTGCATGGGTTGCTTAAATGCTTTCGGTCTTGGTTTTCTTATCTGCAAAGGCGGGTAAGTAGTAATATAGGGTTGTCAAAATTCAGTAAGATGACACATGTAAAATGGTTAACACAGTGTCTAGCATGCAGTGAGCACTCAAAATTAGACCGCCTGTTGCTTTTGAGATCCTTTACTTTAGGTTACAACCGCGACTTCAGGCAAGCCATTCCACTTCGGATATTCAGATGTTGCTGGAGGCGGACGTTCCAGAAGTCTAGTCTGATGACATTCATAAACTACTACTTGTATTTTTAATAGACTTGTTGCCTCTTTGTGCACCTGTAACCAATTATAATCGCAGAAAAGGGTGCAAATAACCTTTGATCTTGGATGTCCTCAGAAGACTGTGACTGTATGTTATGGTAAATTACACATTAAAACACAAACTAAAAAGCCTTAAATAATGTGAAATGCCGATTGCTTTTGTTTTTCTTCCATTCCGGGTCGTTTTATCCGTCCTTTTCCATATTTTTGCTTAGCACCACAGTTGATGAGTCCAGTGCGGTACAAAGGGCATTAGATTAGGAGTCAGAAATTGGCATTTGCCTGGCTTTGTCACCGATCATCAGGGCTTAGACGCTTCTTGGGCTCCCTTTTTCTTGTATGGTAATTCTTTCTCTGCTCAGAGTTTATGGTATGGATAAACTGAAATAAGTAAATAAAAATCGTAATTCCTGTGCAAATGTATACTGCAGAAATGTATTTGGCTTCAGTTTGCATTGATTCTATAGGAATAGCGCATTATGCAATTACGTGTCACAAAATATAGTTGTAGACCTAATGGCTTAAATCAGTATGCCTTGGGAGTTGAATAATGGGTTATTTAGAGATACTATATTCTGATTTCTAAATGACCCTTTGAGTACCCACATACTCATCCCACAAATATTTATGGAGCACATACTATGTACTAGGTTAGAAAGCACTGCTTATTATAAGACCTGTATATTGTTTTAAAATCAAGGAGAATTTACTTCACTTTAAATATAGCTAATTGACTAGTTTTCTCTCTCTTTGACAAAAATATGATAGTGCTATAAAATAAAATTGGAATTTGCCTGTAATATGCAATTTCAACTGAGACAGTGTTGAAAAGGACGGACCTATCTACAAGAGGAAGGGCAAAATGCCTAAGCCTTTGTTTTCCTGAAAAACTTGGTGTAAGAGAGTATTTCTAATGCTTTATGATGAAAATGGAAAAGATTTGCAGTCTGGATTTTTTAAACATGGTGAAGTTTAGGGGTTTTTTTTGGTTTGTTTGGGTTTTTGTTTTGTTTTTTTTAAGAAGAGAACATTTCTGTCTCATTTATAAGAAGGCTATGTGAGATCAAGTTGACTACAAAGCCTTGAATCTGACCTTCAGCAGTTCTGTTAGCAGTGGGGCCCTTGGCTCACGAAAGCAATTAAGTCCTCAGAAATGTATCTACTAGAGACACAAAATTGTGCTGGCCCATCTGGCCTGATGTTAGCTTCTCAGCGCTTCTGTAAGGTTCTGTAAGAGCCGGGACAGGGAAAGAAACAACAAAAATGTCATGCAGCATACTTGTCAAGAAATGCATTTCATAAATCACTGATACTTTGACTCACAGGACACAAAGGATTTCTATTACAGTCTATTCCAATTCTATAATATGGCATTTGTTTCCAGTAGCAGTTAGTGTTTTGGCTGAAACAGCCTCCGTGGCTCATTCTGTTTTCTGCTGCTTTGGAATCAGGGAATGGAGTCCTGAGCACAGCTTTCACTAGAAAGGAGCAAGTTAATGAATGATCACAAGCCTTTCAGTGGTTTGTACCTAGTAAGAAAGTAGGCTGAACGTTCAAGTGCATCTCATCTCTCTCTGTAGTTACTAAACTGTCTACCACCTGCTGACTTCATGGACATGCTTCCTATACACCAGATCCCCAACTCAGAAGAGCCCAAATTTAGTTTCATGCTCTGCTGTCACTGTCTTAAGATTCTTGGTAACTTTTGAACAGAGTCTACATGTTCATTTCACATTGAGCCCCACAAATTAGGTAGCCAGTTTTGTTACTCTTGGGCTTCACGCTTAGAGAATGCCCAATAAATGTTTCCGGGTGAGCAAAATCCGTGATTTTGTTTAAAGCTTTACATAAAAGCAAGTAACCTTCATCTTACTCCGTTTAATTTTGCTGATGTGAGGAGTGGAGGAAAGGTACCAAACTTTTGAGGAAAAATTTAAGATCTAAGAAAGACCCCGAAAATAGTTCACCCAGTGCCTATGTGCTCATCATCATAACATGGCAGCTACCATTTTATTCTATTAACTTAGAGGTTATTTAAAAACAAAAGGCAGGTGAAGTTGACCTACTGATCCCACCTCTAATCCTATTTTTCTCTCCACCTGCTCCCTGGGAGTTAAAGCACTATCATGAACATTGTGTCCTTCTAGTGTTTATTATCCCTTTACGGTGCCAGGAATAATACTTGGTAACATAGCTCGTGTGTCTTAACATTTATGTAAATGATGGGAACTACATGCAGCAATCTGTAATTTGTTTTTATTGGATATTTGATTTCTAAAATCTAGCTACGTTGATAAGCACAGTTCTCCTCTTCATTCTCATTACCGTATACAGTAGTGATGAAATCCCCTTTCTTTATCTGCTGCCCCCCTTACAGAGGCTGTTTAAAGCAGAGCCGGAGGGGTCTGTCTTTGTATTTCAGTTCTGCCACTGCCACTGGTCAGTCAGTAGCTGGGTGATACTGGGCAAGTTAAGTGAATGTTCTGAAACCCCGTTTTCACTTTTGTAAAATGAGATTAATAATTCCTACCACTTGAGATGTTTTCGTGACAAACCAGATAACATATGTAAAATCTACGTTCAGAAAATAGTGGTGGGAATTATTTTACACATATCTATGTGTATATTTATGTAAATATGAGTATTATGAAGACCTAAGTAAAATACATAACAGTGATATTGAATTGACATTAACTATTTTTATTGTACTCTTAACTTGGCTCGTGGTCTTCTATCTTATAATAAAAACAGTTCAACCTTCAAATGCGGCACCGAGTACATCTTAGTCTTAGCTTATTTTTTTACAAAATTGAATGATATTACCTCTAACATATCTTCCATGGATGAAAAAGCTTAAACTCGTACAACTATGAAACTACCATGTTATTTATAAAATGGCGCCTATGTTCCATTCTGTGCATAGTTGGAAAAGAATATCTAGTGTTTTTCAACTTTGCAAAGCAGCAAATAATAGAATGAAAATTCTGGAATTCTATCAGACCAAAACTGTGCTGCTGCAGAGACCCCAACTGCAATGAGAAATTAAAAACCTAAAGCTTACTTTTTTCATGTTCTCGGCAAATCTCGTGAAAATCTGAACAGAAGCCAATATTAAATAGTATTCCAAGTTGGTTGAAATCTGCGATCAAGTAAGGAACTTGAAATAACATTCTGAATCCCCCTGTGATTTTAAAGCAGTATATTTTGGTAATTCAACAGATTTTACACAATTCGCTATCGAGAAAAGGATAAAGAAAAGAAGTGGATTTTTCAAATCTGTCCAGCCACTGAAACAATCGTGGAAAATCTAAAGCCCAACACAGTTTATGAATTTGGAGTGAAAGACAATGTGGAAGGTGGAATTTGGAGCAAGATTTTCAATCACAAAACTGTTGTTGGAAGTAAGTACCCAGAAATGTTGGTTTCAGTAAACTTTTGTAATTTTTTCTTTTTTCTTAGTTACCTAATTTTGAATTATTGTCATTCATTATATGATATGAAATAAGCTAATTCCTAAGCTCTAGCGTTTCTGAAAATATAGAAGAAACAGCACATATTAAACAATGATATTTCGTAATATTTTGTTATAAGTGATTTTTAAGATGAGTAATAAATATTACACCTCAATTGACATCATTGGCTATTGTACTATAGTAGTTTAAAATCAATCCCTGACCTGCAAACACCAACCGAACCAAAAAACAAAACAAAATAAAACACGTACCAATGTTCAGAATGGTAAGCCTGACCAGGAGAAGTTCTCATAAAAAGACTTTCAGGAACATTGAGCTTTCTTCCAGTCATTTCTTCATTAAAACTTCATTGGAATCAGTGTTTGAAATGATACCAGTTAAAATTCTCCATCCAAGTCAGAGGTCAAATTGTAATTGTCTTCATAATGATTAGCTAGAGTTGACTTAGGAGCAAGAAGAATAGAAATAACATTTTCCTCTTGTTTCATCAGGTAAAAAAGTAAATGGGAAAATCCAAAGTACCTACGACCAAGACCACACAGTGGTATGTAACAGTTTATTTTCAAGAATGCTTTAAAAAAACTGTATCTGCCTTGGTAAGGGAATAATTTTATTATAAGATACTGAAATTAGGTTAACTGATTAGCTATGAAACCTTGGATAAAGTACTTAGTCTTATGAATCAGTTTCTTTTTCCAAAAACTAAATAAAAGCATGATTTCAAATCATCTCTGATTTGAAGTGCTAAAATTCTGAGATTCAATGTAGCTTACTATAGTATTTCAGTATTCTGGGTATTTCGAGGTTATGCATATATTAGCTTCTGTAGATTGCTTTTTAATATAACGTTTCAAGAGCAAATGGATACATACTTTAGGTACATTGCTACAGCTCAAACCTTTCCTTTCTATTTTCTATCCTATCCTACTTTAAAGAGCCGGTCTTTTTCACCATGATGAAGCAATCAGTTTGATTTTGTAAAATGCCCAGCCTCTGTTCAGCTTAGACAATGTTTGTGTTTTCTGAACCAGGTATTTCCCCATGAATCTAAAAATATCCTTTTTTGTCACTTCAGCCACTTGGTTTCTCCTGCTCTCTTTCCTTCCACTTTTCAAAATCTATTCTCAGGAAGCATCACGTCAAGTATACACCACCCGATCTGGGATGACAGTAAGTCATTGTTAGAGCCACCACAAAAATGTTCACATTTCAAATCTCATACCCAGTAATTAGTGCCAAAATAATTGCCGCTTTTGACATTGAAAGTAACAAAAGACATGTTACTGGGCAGATAGAGGAAGCACTTTGGTGAAAAGAAGGGAATTTGGTGCTGGCTTTGGTCCCTAGATATTGGAAGTAGCCTACAGTCAGATGAACGTGCAAAGGCTATTCGTGGCTGGAATTTCGCTCTCTAAGATGTGTGCTTCAGGTGTGTGGGTGAATATCTTTTTATGTATAATTAAATAATCCAGAGAATACCCCCATGGATCACGAGCCCCAGTCTGGAAAAAAAAAACAGTAGTATATAATTCACTGGGATTTAAAAAATTAAAAAAAGAAGATTGGGTTTGGTGACAGAAAATAGTGTTAGATAAATAGAATTGACTAAAAATCCGCATAAGGCAAATGTTGTTTGTGCAGTTTGAAACAGCAGAAAAATGCGTTCATTGTGAAATCATCATCAAATAATAATTATGAGAATATTTTGATGTTTTCAAATATTAATACAAAAAGGAGATTGCAGATAAATTCCTAGGCCTGTTCTCAGTTCTCTCTCTCTCTCTCTCTCTCTCTCTCTCTCTCTCTCTCTAACTTGTCTGCTGTTTTGTATTGTTTTTAGGTTTTGCTGCTTTTCTAATTGTCTGATACTTAAAGATTTAGAATGTTAAGTGGGCAAAGAAGCATTAACAAGGTTACCTATAACAAAACTACCTATAAGGGTCATATAAAACCTTTAATAGTCTGGTAAAACTTGAGGAGATCCTTTGTTTTCTAAGCATGTCGTTCCAAAGAAAAATCATACTGTATTTGCAGTTTTTCATCTCGCTGTTTTTACTTGGTCAGAGAGATGAACATATTTCATGGCATCAAATGCTCTTTGTAAACATCATTTTAACTGCTGTGTACTGTATCATCTGAATACATGATTATTAAGTTTCCAATTTGTAGGAATTTCAGTTCTTTCTAATTGTTTTAAAACTGTGGGTGATGTTATAGTGAACACTTATAAAGCTTTGTTCACGATGCTGATCATTTCCTTAAAATAGATACTTAGAAGAAGAATTAATAGTTTAGAGTTTTAACTTTTTTTATGATACTTTAAGTTCTGGGCTACATGTGCAGAACGTGCAGGTTTGTTACATAGGTATACACGTGCCATGGTGGTTTGCTACATCCATCGCCCCGTCATCTACATTAGGTATTTCTCCTGTTATCCTTCCCCATCCCCCACCCTCTGTTATACCTCCCTTAGGCCCCCATCCCCCAACAGGCCTCAGTGTGTGATGCTACCCTCCCTGTGTCCATGTATTCTCATTGTTCAACACCCACTTATGAGTGAGAACATGCAGTGTTCGGTTTGCTGCTCTTGTGTCAGTTGGCTGAGAATGATGGTTTCCAGCTTTATCCATGCCCCTGCAAAGGACATGAACTCATCCTTTTTTATGGCTGCATAGTATTCCATGGTGTAGATGTGCCACATTTTCTTTATCCAGTCTATCACTGATGGGCAGTTGGGTTGGTTCCAAGTCTTTGCTATTGTGAACAGTGCGGCCTTCCTAATGCTGTGGTCAGATTCCTTTCCAGAAAGTGGTACCAGTTTATAAACTTGCCAGCAATTTATCAGTTTATGTTGCTACAGTACCTGATTGTCAGCTTTGCATATTTCCATCACTACATTTTTGGCTAATGTAACAGCTTGTAATCGTCATCTTGATTTTTATTTCTCTGATTGCTGATGAAGCCGTACTTTCTTCCCTGGTTTATTAGCCAGTCATATTTTCCGTTTAATGATGTTCTGTTGCAGTTTTTTTTGTTTGTCGGCTCTTTCTTGGGTTCTTTTAAGACTATATAGTCTAAGACTATATATTAAAGAAACACTGGCCTGTGGATGATACTATCTAGAAATATTTTTCTCCCATTTGTTATCACTTAAGTTTGTTCATAGACATTTTTGAAATAGACAACTCGTGAAATTTCCTTAACCAAATTATTAGACTTTTCCATTGTGATCTCTTCAATTGCATTGTATTGTAGAGAGACCCTCCCTCTCCAGAGAGCAGATAAATATTTCTCCCCTTTCTTTAGTTTTAGGAGTGGTTTGATTTTTGTAATAATTCTGTAAATTATTTTACTATGGTGTATAGTAAGGTTCTCTATTGATTAGGCTGTGTATTTCCCTCCCCCAAAATAATCAATTGGCTTAGTATTATGTATGGAAGGGTGCCTCGCCCTGAGGTCCCTTCACCCTGGTCTCTTAAATGCAGTCAATATTGTATAGCAGAGGTAGATATGCTGTACCTTACAGGCGAAACAGCGGGATAGAGCTGCTCTTTCATCCTCTTCTAGAACAGCACTCCTTCTTTGTTGTGAATGTTTCCTAGGAAGCATACATTGTCCTCAACCCTCTGGGCTATCATGCTGAACCTTTCATGTGACTCCGTGATATCACTTCTTTGATTCCCTTTCTTTCAACATCACATCCCAGTAATGTGTATTTGTCTTGGCAAGATATTTCATTTAGGATGAGTTACTCAGCAAGATTGAGAAAGACGATCGATGTTTTACTCTCTGGGAATTTAATTTTTTTTTTTTCCTTCAACATAAGCAGCCATGATAGGAAGGGCTAGGAAGCAACTTCCTGCCTCCGTGACACAGAGCCAGGCATTTTATCACTTCAAGCTGTGAGGTGGAGTACCCCGACTCCAGCCAGCTCTGATGAGTTTAAAACTCTTCATTATTTCCAGAGGAAAAACCAAATTCATTGAAAAGATATTTTAAGCCTGCTTTGAGAAGCTTTATTTTTTCCTTCTGGACAGCAAAAAAAAATGACCTTACATCTCTGCTCTCAGGTAGCTCTGGGACATAAGGTAGTTGTGAAAAAACTGGATGGGACAGCTTTGACCGTCTTATGTCATTACATAGAATTGATTCTGAAAACTAGTTTGATACTTGAGAGGTATATTTTAGTCCAAAGAAGTCTATACCCAATTTTTTTTTTTTTTTTTTGAGACGGAGTTTTGCTCTTGTGACCCAGGCTGGAGTGCAATGGCGTGATCTCGGCTCACCGCAACCTCCGCCTCCTGGGTTCAGGCAATTCTCCTGCCTCAGCCTCCTGAGTAGCTGGGATTACAGGCACGCGCCACCATGCCCAGCTAGTTTTTTGTATTTTTAGTAGAGATGGGGTTTCACCATGTTGACCAGGATGGTCTCGATCTCTCGACCTCGTGATCCACCCGCCTCGGCCTCCCAAAGTGCTGGGATTACAGGCATGAGCCACCGTGCCTGGCTATACCCAATTATTTACCCATCTCTCCTTTGAGACTGATCTTTGAAGGTAATATTTTAAGATATCTGAAATTAATTTCACATGTTTTGCTTTTAGGATTTTTAAGCAAAAAGACACACTGAAAACTTTTTTATTCATATGAACATGGTTACTTCTGAAACCTTAGAAGCAGCAAAAACTCTTGAACACCTTCCAATAAGAGGTATTCAAAATGGAAGTGAAAAACCAACTTGAACTTTAGGCTATCCATTTTAAAGATAAATAATTTTTAGGTCAAAAATGTGGATATTACATGCAGCCCCATCCTACCCTTCTGGTTACACTATATATTGTAATTCACATATCTAGATACGTGTTCTGGCAGGAAAGCCGTAGGACAGTTGTGCCAAGGGGCATATAGCAGGGATCTCTTCTGATTGGTTAGTGCCTTTGTTCTACCAATTGTTAAATGTTTTCAATATTGCTCCGAGCTATGCCACTAGAAAAAATCAGAGAAAGGGTATATGCAGAAACAAATCAGTTACTTTATATAGAAAGAATATAAAGTAAATCACTTGAGATCCATACGATTGAGGAATCAAAAAATACATTTATCATGATGATTGTACTTTTTTTTTTTTTCCGTTTTGAGAATCTAGCATACTCTTTTGTGGAGGTAAAACCTAAAGTTTACTATTAGGTTTTATTGTCTTAAAAAATAAAGAATGGTGCCTAATATTTTCATATATTTTCCATGTTTTGAAAAAATGTGTTACTTAACTAGTTAACCAAAATCAATATTTGAAGTATGTAGCACTTATTAACAGATTTTTAAAAGCAAATTTAATTTTTTTTTTTTTTTTTGAGATGGAGTTTTGCTCTTGTTACCCAGGCTGGAGTGCAATGGCGCGATCTCGGCTCACCGCAACCTCCGCCTCCTGGGTTCAGGCAATTCTCCTGCCTCAGCCTCCTGAGCAGCTGGGATTACAGGCATGCGCCACCATGCCCGACTAATTTTTTGTAGCAAATTTAATTATTTAATCCAAATCTTCCGAGAA